TCAATAACCCCTCCTACCGCATATATATTACACTGTATTTCTAGAAAGGATAAAAGGCCGCAATTGGCCCATAGTTTTAGACAGCAAATTTCCCATATTTTCTGTAGCCATATTAGTGGCTATGATTAGCTATATTTCAGGAAACTCTATATAAACACACGCACTACAGCTGTGTGTTCCTACGAGATGATCAGGGTGTAATCACGGAACACACCTTCTGGCAGCATTTATCTAAAGGAGTGGGCCCTTTGAGACCCTTGCCCTGTTGACTCTAGACCAGAGTCCACCACAAATACCCAGGGGAAAATAGAGTGTGGATTTTTTTCATTCACTGTTTTATTTTTGAGATTATAATATAGTACATCATTTCTTTCCTCCCTTCATTTCCTCTAAACCTTTCCATATATCCTATTTGCTTTCTTTCAAATTCATAGCCTTTTTCCTTATTTACATGCATATATATATATATATATATATATATATATATATATATATACCTCCTCAATCTGTATAATGCCACTCATATGTATGTATTCATGGTTTTAGGACTGACCACTGGTATTAGATAATCAATCTGTGTGCTCTTCTCAGGGAAAGACTGTGTCTCCCACTCTCAGCATTCTTTAGTTGCCTGTAGTCTTTGCATAGGGTGGAGATCTCATGGGCTTCCCCAGTTCCCCCTGGCATGTCTCGTGGTGTCATCATTGTTTGTGGTGATGTATTGTGTCCCCAATATATTGCATACCCTAATAAAGTTCATCTGAGGGTCAGAGGAAAAAGCCAGCCACTATAATAAACATAGAGGTCAGGCAATGGTAGCACATGCCTTTAATCCTATCACTCAGGAGGCAGAGATCTGTCTGGATCTCTGTGAGTTCAAGGCCACGCTGGGAAAAGAGCCAGGTGTAGTGGTACATACCTTTAATCCCAGCACTAACCATAAAGGTCTGGAGGTCTGTACAGATAGACAGAAAGTGACAGAGCTGGGCAGGAAGAGGAAGTGATGTAGCTGGGTAGAGAGAGGAAATGAGATGGCAGAACAGAAAGGCATATAGGCGTGGGTATACGGGAAGTAAGTCTCTTTGGAGACTGAGGTGTCAGTGAGGTGAGGTTGTCTGTGCCTTGTCCTATTTCTCTGATCTCTCAGTTTTTCACACCAATATCTGGCTCTGGGTTTTTATTAATAAGACCACTTAAGATTTGTGCTACAGTTGTTCACTTTATGTTTAGGTACTCATATTGGTGAGACACAATCCCACCGCAAATTCTCTGATCTTCTGGCACTTACAATGTTTCTGTGTCCATGCCACTTCTTCACAATGTTTACAACTCTGCATTTGATTGGTTGTGGCTTTCTGTAGTGTTCTACATCTGGTCTGTTTAAAACAGAAGTTTCCTTGATGAGGGGAGAGGACTACACTTTTCTGTGGGTATAAAGACAAAAGTTTAGGTTATTGTTACGATTTATGTTGGATTAGTAAACTAGTGGTTGCAGGCTCTCCTCCAAGAGCCATAACTTCAGTAGCACTAGGTTTCCTGTACCAGGCATGGTTTCACTCTTAAGGGGATTTTAAGTCTAATTAGAGAGCTGTTGGTTACCTCCAAGGTATACATGCCACTTCTGCATCCTTGGGGCTATTGTACCATGCTAGTTGTTGGTGGGATTCATGGGTGTCATGGCTGGGTAGGACTATTGGTTGCTTCCCTCCTTTGGAAGTTTGCAGTGCCTTCTGATACTATGAATGCTAACACTCAGGTAGGAGGAATTCTGCTCAGTTCTAGCTCCTGGGCCTTTGGGCCCCGTTTTTGAAGTGCATCGTGTCTTCAGCAATAGGGACTTACCTTCCATCATCTCTGGAGGCAACTGAGGGCAACAACAAAAGGCTGTGTGTTTTAAGAGACTCTTGAACTTCCATGAACAACAATTCAAAAGGGGGCTTCTCACATCTGTTATTGGGTGTTTTGTTAGAGGGTCTTTGTCTCTTCAAGAAACACTTGTCCGTCCAGATGAGAGAAGTTCATTTAAACTACATATGTACATTTATACACCGAATTACATGTATTACAGTTTTTTAAAGCTAGTTAACAATGATCCCTTGATTTTCAGACATATATATTTTATTTTATCCTCCTCTCTCCTTCTGTACTTACCTCCCTTCTCCTACCTAAAGATAGACCCTTTTCCCATTCCCCCCAACAGTTCACCTTTACCCTGCTATTCTCCTTTACCCTATTCCTTCCTCTGTATTTACCTCCATCACCCTCCTGAAAGAGCCCCTATTTCCCAATAGTCCTGCCCAGCTATGACACCAATGAACCCCATCAACAACTACCATGGTACAATAGCCCCAAGGATGCAGAAGTGGCATGTATACCTTGGAGGTAACCAACAGCTGTCTAATTAGATTTAAAACCCCCTTAAGAGTGAAACCATGCCTGGTACAGGAAACCTAGTACTACAGAAGTCATGGACCTTGGAGGAGAGTCTACAACCACTAGTTTACTAATCCAACATAAATCCTAACAATAATCCAAACTTTTCCCATTTCCCCAATAAGACCACTTGTATCCTGCTAGTCCACTTTCTATTGCTCTCCAATCCCTTTACTCTAGCAACAGTTTGTTTTTACTTTCCTGGTTTCTGCATTACTCCAGGATATGTACTCACACCTGAAGATTTGGAGCTAGGAGCCTCCAGTGAGAGAGAACATGCAACGTTTGTCTTTCTGGGGTCTGAGTTACTTCACTCAACATTATCTTTCTTGGTTCCATCCAAAGTTTATGATTTCATTCTTATTATAGCTAGTGTGTAAGTACCACATTTTTGTTATCCATGCCTCAGCTGAAGGACATTTAGGACGTTTCCATTTCCTAGCTATTGTGACTAGAACAGCAATGAACAACAAAGGCTGTGCAGGTATCTGCGTAGTAGGATGCTGAGTGCTTTGGGCACATGCCAAGGAGCTCTTCAGCTGGGTCACAGATTTATTTTTAGTTTTTTGAGAATTCTCTACACTGGTTTCCATAGTGACTGCACCAATTTGCAATCAGTAAACAAGGGCCTCCTTTTCCCAGCATTCCCTCCAGCATCCATTGTTGGCTGTTTTGTTGATCTTTGCCATTCTGACTGAGGTAAAATGAAATGACAGTTGTTTTGATTTGCATTACCCTAATTGCTAATGATGATGAACATTCTTTGAGTTATTTATTAGTCATTACCCCCTCCTTCTTTTAGGAACTCTTTGTTCGGATCCCAGGCCCATTTTTCAAATGGGTCATTTGTTTTTTTGTTATTTGAGGGTTTTTTTTTTTTAACTCTTCTGTTGTTGTTGTTGTTGAGTTCTTAATATATTCTGGCTATTCATCCTCTGACAAATGTTGTGCTGGCTAGTTTTATGTCAACTTGGCACAAACTGGAGCCATCAGAGAGGAGGAAGCCTCAATTGAGAAAATGCCTCTGTAAGAACAGGCTGTAGGAAAGCCTGCAAGGGCCTTCTCTTAATTGGTGATTGAAGTGGGAGAACTCAGTCCATTGTGGGTGGAGCCATCCTGGACTGGTGGTCCTGGGATAAGCGAGCAGGTGACATACCTGCTGAAGCAAGTCAGGAAGCAGAACTCTTCCAGGGCCCCTGCATCAGCTCCTGCTTCCAGCTTCCTGCACTGATTTCCTGTCCTGACTTCCTTCCAAAATGAACAGTGATGTGTCAGCAAAAACCAGAGTCTGTTAATCTTGTTTATCTTCTCAAAGAACCAGTCATAGATTTGTTGATTTATTGTATTGTTTTGTTTCTATTTCATTGATTTCTGCTCTAATTTTTATTATTTCTTGCCATGACTGGGTTCATATCTGGTTTGTTCTTCATTCCTTCAACTTTTTGAGTTGCATCATTAAATCAAACTCATTTGTGATCTTTCTGATTTTTTTTTTTTTTTTTTTTTTTTTGGTTTTTTGAGACAGGGTTTCTCTGTGTAGCCCCATTGTCCTGTAGCTGGATCTGTAGACCAGGTTGACCTCGAACTCACAGAGATCCACCTGTGCTCTTTCTGATTTTTTAATGTAGATAGTTAGACCTATAAATTTCTATCAATGTGTCCCAAAGATTTTGTTGTGTTGTTTTCATTTTCATTTATTTCCACAATTTTAAAAATACTTTTTCTTGATTTCTTCTTTGACCTATTCATCATTCAGTAATGAGTTATTTAATCTCCATAATTTTGTGTGTTTATTAGAGTTTTTGCTATCAATTTTAAGTTTTATTGCATTGTGGTCAGATAGGCTACAAGGAGTGATTTCAATCTTTTTGAATTTGTAAAGTATTGTTTTGTGTCCTAAGATGTAGTCTATTTTAGAAAAGTTTCCACGTCCTGCTGAGTAGTATATGTATTCTTTGGTGTTTCAGTGGACTGTTCTGTATATTTGTTAGATTCACTTAATATATGATATCAACTAATTCTGATGTTCCTATTTACTTATTCTTTTGTCCAGATGTTGGAGAAAGCAAGGTTCTGAAATTATCTACTGTTTTTGGATTGATATTGATCTGTGTATTTAAACCTATAGTACATTTTTTTTTATAAAGTTGGGCTCCCCAGGGTTTTTGGTGCATCTATTTTTAAGAGATTAAAATCTTCTTGGTTAAGTGTTCCCTTGATTAGAATGCAGTGTCCTTCATCATTCAGGTTAATTTTAGTGCAAAGTCACTTTTCTCAGAAAGTATAACAGGGACACCTGCTTAATTCCTGTTCCTGTCCGATTGGAGTGCTTTACCCTCCTTGTACTCTAAGGCAGTTCCTCTCTTTAAAACCAAGATGTGTTTCTCACAGGCAACATGATGAATTTCGCTTCTTGATCCATTGAGTCAGCCTGTGCCTTGATTGGCAAATTGAGGCCATTGATATTTAAAGTTATTATTGAAATGTGCGTTAATTATGGTCATCGTGTTAGAGATTTTTGGTATTGTTCGTGTTCTTGGTGAAATCTGTGTTTATGGCACTGCCAGGAGCACGGGCCACAGAGCGGCAGGGCAGCTCCAAGGAGACTGAGAGACCGTGGAAGCTCCAAGGTGGGTGAGGAGCAGATAAGGAGTCTGCAGAACCCACAATATCCCCGGAACAACTGGAAAAAGAAAAAAGACAAGAAAAGACAGGTCCTATGTGAAGATGCTTTTAAAAATTGGACTCAAAAAATAAAAGGAAAGAAGACAGAGCAGAGCCTGGCGTGGGAGAGAATGGCGAAACCAGAAACCCGGCTGCAGCGAAGGGTATGAGAGCGGTATGGGAGCATGCCTGCAGTGGACAAAGAACACGCATTACTGAAGGGGCAGGTCCTTGGCTAAAGCGCCTGCCTGCTGCACAGAGCCGCGGGAAGAAGGGGAACTTCAGACACAGCACCGCCCACAGGCTGTGAGCACAAAAGTCAAGCCCAGTGAGCCTTAGGGCAGCCTGCAGCTAGGGCAGGGAGGTGTATGGTGGACTGGAGCTCACACAAATCCTGCTTCCCTACTCCCCATGACCGGCCTAGCCACAAGATCACCCTGACTCTGGGCAACAGCAGGATACAGGAGAGAGTCTCAGTGATGGTCCAGTATTTATGGTGCTTCAGAAACTAGAAACCTGGAGCCACGTCAATGACTCATTGCAGTGAGTGTTTGTATGTAAAGCTGTTTTTTGGGGGGGTATCTAGATAGATAGATAGATAGATAGATAGATAGATAGATAGATAGATGGATGGATGGATGGATGGATGGATGGATGGATGGATGGATGGATGGATGGATATAGATAGATGGATAGATATAGAAAGATGGATAGATATAGAAAGATACATAGATTTAGATATTGTGTGACACACTACAGTTTACAGTGCCACTATGATGAACAGATATGTAATGGAGAGGTGGGAGAGAGATGGACAACAGAGCTGTGTTGGGTGGAGAGAGGCAGAATTGGTACGAAATGAAGAGAGGTGACAGGTATGGGAAAAGGCTGTGGTAGATGAGGATACATGTTGATGCTGAGTAGGGGCCGGCAGGGTACTTTGTAGCAGCCTGAGGCTTGGCCAGATTTTACCCCAAAATGTGCTGCCCAGCCACACAATTGTCCTGGCTCTCAGATGATGTATGGTTCATTTTCTCGATTGGATGTTCTCAAAAGACGTTCAGGTTGTGCTGCCCCTGGAGGCCATGTTGGTATCTGTGGTTCCCTGCAAGAGCCAGAGGACTTGCTGGTGTCGGTGGTCAGTGCTCTGCCCCAGTCCATGTGGAAGCCAGAGAGTTATGTGTATTACTATGGTCTGGGCTGCCGCTGGAGCCCAAGTTAGTGTCCATGGTCCGAGTTGCTACTGGAGGTCATGTTGATGTGTGTGAGCTGTACTGCCATCTGAGGCCATATTCATGTCTGTGGTCCATCTTGCTGCCAAGGGCATTGTTGGGGTCTGTGGTTCTGCTGCAGTCAGGGGCCATGTGGATGTGTTACCACCAAAAGCCATACAGATGTGCAGGGTCTGTGATGCAGCCTGAATCCATGTTGATGTCCATAGTCTGTGTTGCTATAGGAGGCCACGTTGATGTCTGTGGCCTGTGCTGCAGCCAGGGATCATGTTGATGTTTGTGGTCTGTGCTGCCTCTGGAAGCCATGTTGACGTTCCTGGTCCATCCTGCAGCTGGAAACTGTGTGGATATCTGTGGTCTATGTTCCTGCTAGAGGCCATGTTGATGTCTGTGGCCTGTGCTGTTGCCAAGGACATAGTGGTATCTGTGGCCTGTGCTGCCCCTGAAGCCATGTTGATGGCCATGGGCCATGCTGCTGTCGGGGTCTGTGATAGCATCTGAGGCCCCAGCTGTAGTTGAGGACTATGTTGATGCCCATGGTCTGTACTGCCACTGGAGACCATGCTGAGGTCGGTAGCAAGTGCTGATGCCAGAGGCCATGATCTGTGCTCCCACTGTAAAGGACAAGGACGCTTCTTTTGAAGTGGTGTCAATGACTGCAGACTCATAGTTGAGAATGAGAGACATAGGTGGCTGTGGTGGTAGTGTGTTCCCCAAAATATTGTGCACCCTAATAAACTCATCTGGGGTCAAAGGACAGAACAGCCACTAGATACAGAGGCTAGAAAATGGTGGCACACACATCTTTAATTCCAGCATTCCAGAGGCAGAGATCCACCTGGATCTCTGTGTGTTCAAGGTCACACTGGAAACAACCAGGCATGGTGACTCATGCCTTTAATCCCAGGAAGTGAGCCTTTAATCCCAGGGAGTGATGGCAGAAAGCAGAAAGATATATAAGGCGTGAAGACCAGGAACTAGAAGCTTTTAGCTGGTTAAGCTTTTAGGCTTTTAGCAGCAGTTCAGCTGAGATTCATTTGGATGAGGACTCAGAAGCTTCCAGTCTGAGGAAACAGGATCAGCTGAGGACCTGGAGAGGTGAGGTAGCTGTGGCTTGTTCTGCTTCTCTGATCTTCCAGCATTCACCCCAATACCTGCCTCAGGTTTGATTTTATTAATAAGAACTTTTAAGATTCCTGCTACAGGTGGCTTCTGGGACAATCTCTCTACAACCCCCTCCAAAAACAGAAACAGCCTCAACAGGAAGCCATTAAAGAGAACTCTTCAAAATATTGATAAGGATGCTAAAGTGTAGCTCTCCATAACTGATGGCTTCTGGTAGGGGTGGGAATAGAATTCAGTTTCCTTTAAGGGGCTGGCTACAGAGAGTGTGTGTGACAATGCTCCAATGAGTATATGAGCAACATAGATTTGGTTTTGTTTGTTTGTTTGTTTGTTTGTTTGTTTTTGTGGTAGGGGGTGAAAGAGTGAGTGTGTGTGGCCCTGGAAGGACTAGCAAGTGAGTGTGACCAGAGTGCATTATGTGAAATTCCCAAATAATCAATAAAAATATTACATTGGAAAGAATATTTAAATTTTTAATACTATTTAATAAGAACAAAACTATGCATAACTTGAATTATAAATTAAATTACCAGAAAAGTAATTAGTTGAATTACCAAATTTGCTGATTATATGAAATGAATAAACTTTGCTTGTTTTGTACTTTTTAAAAGTATTTAGGACAAAATGAGTTCCAGAAAATTTATTATTTGTGATCTTACTGACTCAGCCTAAACAGAAATACTATATTACTTTTTGTGGCATTTGTAAAAGTAATTGTGAAAGCAGCTGAGTGAATTCCCTAGCTATGATTTTGATATCTAGTGCTCTTAAACTTAAAATGCCCTGAGGTGGTACATCTTCAGCAATGTGCTCTGTTTTTCCTTGTAGGGTGGCAGAAAAGGAAACGGAACTCGGAGTCTGACCAGTGTGGGTGATTACGGCAGCCTCTGAGGTCAGCACACAGTACTTTCAGAATTTAGTGCTATGCAACTGCTAAGCTGTGCAGTTCTTGTTGAAGGAACCACAAGCAACTAGCTCACTCATCATCTACAATTTTATGTTCTTTTGGCTCAAAGTTAAAAGAAAATATAGATTACCAGAAGGACTTGATTATTGTTCTCTGTCCAAACATCTTATAACTTTAGTTTTTCATCAGTCAATAAAACTAATTTACTCTTCAAAGAAAAAAAGTGTGTTTATATTATTATGGCCTTGTACTTTTTTCCACAGTCTCTCTGCTATGTACATTCCTCTTTCTAGCCTCTTATTTGAGGCCAGCCTGAGCTACAAAATGAGTTCCAAGTCTTCCCAGGCTAGACCCTTTCTCATCAAAAAATTAAGTAAATCGTATGCTACAGAAATATTAAAATTAAAAAATTTTAATCAGAGAAATCACTTAAACCTCCTTTATGACTTCGTGAACTCTCCACCCACAATTCTACTCTCACAGATGCTCACTGTGAAAGGTTGGCATTATGACAATAACCTAAGACAGTCTGTGAAAATATAGTATAGAATGTTCTCCATGTATGTACTTTGTTTATCACAAAATAGGATATTATTGTAAGATATATTTTGCTTAACATAACCATATAGAAAAATAAGGTATCTCTGCAAGTTTTCTTGGATAGAATAAATGTGAGGAAGGAGAAGCTGAATGGCTTTATGGTTGAGTGAATTAAAGCAATAACAAGCTAAACTCCATTTACTTTATAGGAACTTATGAATAAAAGGTCAAATGATCAAATGTTCCTACTCTTTTGTAAATCTGATCAACATGTAAAGCCAGGAACAAACACATCTCCTTCTCTCTGTTCTAGGTCTAACACATACCATTATCCTCCTTTACCAGTGTACTCTTTATAAATTTTCTTTAAAGGGAATAATAATTAATAGCTTTGCTGTTGTCTTGCATGCACTATGCATGATTATATTAATATCTGATATATCACCATCCATTATACATCGTTATTTATATACATCACACCTTCATCATCTCGACTGAGCTCTGTTTTTAGCTACCTTCTTATTGACTAGCCTACATGATGGGTCATTTTTACCAGAAGCTGATCCCATCCATATCTTAACATTACTTATTATCAGTCTTATGGTGCTAAAGAGCTGTGTGTACTCACATGTGTGTGTATGTGCATTAGAGCTGTGTAGTCTTGGGCTTCTCCTCGGAGGACACGTCAAGTAAGAAAGCACTACAAATGCACATGCTCCCTGCTCTTACCTTCTAGCGTCTAGACTTGCCTAGACAATCACAGGATATTCTCTTTAGCATGGAAAGAAGCAGTGACCACCATGATACTGCCAAAATCCGCTGCCAATTTGGTTCCATTGGGACACAGTTTCAGTGGCCCCTATTCAGCTTTTCAGGCTGATCTCTGGAAACCACTTCTCTAGGCTTTGGAGAAGGGAACCCAAGCCTGTGTGATGCCCAGCTTCTGAGCGAGTCCTTCTTCTTCTCTGGAATCTCAGTTGGAAATCCAACGTCTACACTTCTCTCGGTATTCTGATATTTCAAACTATGAGAAGAGTCCATTAAGCTCTGCTCACAATGCTTTAGACCATCTCTAACACTCATTTCAAAACCCTTCCATATTCCTCCTGCAAACTATTTCCAGAAGCCTGAGAGCTAACAGGGTAAGATTTGTCACAGCAGTAGCGTCACTCCTCAGCACCAGTTTTCCCTGGGTGTCGCTTTTGCTTTTCTCGTTGCAATGACAAAGCATTTGACAAAAGCCACCCAGGGAAGAAAGGAGTTATATCAGCCTGCACTTCGAGGGGCTGGTCCACCATGGCTGGGAAGGTATGGGGGCCAGGAGCATGAGGACGCTGGTCACATTGCATCTGCAGTTATGGAGCAGAGAGACGAAGAGTCGGTTCCACTCGCTTTCCCTTCTTATTCAGTACAAGGCCACATCCCGGGGACCGTGCCACTCACGCTCACGGTAGGTCTTCCCAGCTCAATTCAACTTCTCTGGAAACTCCCTGACTGGCACACTCTTTCTTCTCTTAGGTGTTTCTAAACCCCAGCAAGTTAATAGTCAGGAGTAACTACCGCAACATCCAACCTTCTCCTTACTGGCGACTAGTGCATGTCCATCTTCTTGAAGCTCAGTTTCCTTGCTTAATAATACCTACTACATGATAGGGCTGCTGAGAGAGCAGAGGGGATGGGTGTGGTCATGGAATCCAATACTTGACTTAAAGTACTAAAAGTCGTGATTATTATACTCTTTTTTAAGTTGTAATTCTCCTCTGTTCATCACCAAACTTTACTGCAGAAAAGACACTGCGGCCATTAGAAAAGTAAACATCTGAATTAGCAACAAATGTTTATAAAAATCTCAGGATATAATGTTGTTTAGCAATTACAGGCAACAAAATGGCCCACCCCATTATTATAAAAAGAAAGGGGGGTTACATAGAGAATGGGTGTTCAAACATGGGAACAGGGAAAACTGGGAAAACAGGCTCCATCGGGAGAGTAAAGTAGGCATGCGGCTGCTGTGGCATGAAGAGGATGCTTGAAAAGCCAGAAAAATAGACAAGCAGTTGTAGTTGTAGGCGCTAAGAAGATGTGTGATCGATGGCCATGACAGCAAGCCGTGGACATGAAGGTTGGCTTCAGTAAATTCAATCCCAGAAAAGTAAGAAGGTTTTAAGAGTCACTGGCGTGAGATACGTAGTGAAGCTGACTGCTATCATAAGTGCAACTGATGTCATCATCTCTCAGGGCCATCAAGAGCCTCTATGAACCCAGAGTCTTGGGATACTGAAATGCATCAAGAAGTGGAAATAGATGAATCTATCCAACAGTCACTTACCTCTGTCACCTTCAAAAGTTCACCCGACAGAGGCACATATTTTTGTACATCTGCTGGGTACACAGTGGGCACTAAGAGAACCCCCAGCATCTAACACTTCCAGTTCAGCAAAGGAACCCAGGGCAGTAACGGACATGTATGTGCCCTGGAAAGAAATCTGTAGGTAAACGAGGTCAGTTTGAATTTCAGCTCTGGCTAAGCCAGGGACAAATGAATCTGGAGACTAGTGAGAACAAAAAAGATTCCAAAAGACAAGCTAAATGTGTTTTATTCATCAGCTGAAATAACTCACTAGGATGAATTGATACATTGTGCCAGGAAAATTATCCCTGAATGATATGATGTGTCCTCACCATAGTTTACAAACTACAATGTGGGGCGTTTACCCACCACCCCCACAGCTTCCCAGAGTTTTCTTGAGTGCGGTCAGCAGGAAATATTAGATAGAAGGATTTATAGCAGAGAATCTTGTGGAGATAAACAGATAGAAAATAAAGGATAGCCCCCAGAGGGCCTGGAACCTATTCCAACAGGCCTGGACTGTCTCTGGTCCAGGGTTTTTATAGAGACGCCAAGGGGTGGAGCAAAAGACCTCCTCCCCCAGCACAGCCAAGTGCAGATCATCTCAGACACCTGCACTCAGGCCCGTGGTCCTGATCATCCTCTATTCGGACCTGCTGGGTAAAGCCACGAGGAACCTGAGAACGGGCTCCCACACTACAATCAACTTTCTATTGTGACATGCTGGCTGTCAAGTTAAAAGTAAAGGAATTTCAGGGGACAACCCTGCCTTATCACTGTGAAAGCAGTCCTCAAAAGTCCCAGTGATGACTTAGGAAAATAAAACACCCACAAGGAAAATAAACTGAGTACGGCAAATCTGAGTAAGTTAGACATCAGGAAGCCTTGATTACTGGAAGTGATGTTAAAACAAAAAGGACTCTCTGCTTAACCCAAAGATCTTTCAGAAACATCCCATAAAGAATTCTTAAGCAGGCATTGTGGCCCACACCTGAAATTCTAGCACTTGGGAGACTGGAGTAGGATGACCATGAGTTCAAGGCCAACCTAGATACATAGGAAGATCTCTGTAGGAAAAAAAGAATGACCAAAAGTTTCAATTGTATTCACTGGGTGCTATAAAGCATTTATTACAACCATACACAGATTTTTATACATACTTACTTGTATATTTGTGAAATCTGAATGAGAGAAAGAATGGATTATCTCTAGGAGTAGGAATGCTCAAAAATCCTCGTAGGTGTTATTCTGGAAGGTAAGCAGCACATAAAAAAAGAAACATGTTGATGTGCTGGAAGAGCGTGGGGGCCGGGAAGAATTCAGACTGGTATTACAGTGTGTAAAGGAGAGAAAGGAGGTGTACTAGACCTCAGTCTTTTATACCCATCAGCTAATATTTATTCTTTTCAAGCTGGAAACTGTTGAATATGTTTAAATAGGCATTGAAAAAGGCTGATGATATTTTTTCTGTTATTCTTACTATTTCAGAAAATACTTTAGGCATTAATATTCCTTTTTAAGACCTTGTTTCCCATGAAGATATTCACCTATCAAGATACTAGGTGAACCAGAGAGCCATTTCTTTTTACTTCACCAGTATAAACAAGGCTACATGACACCAAGTTTATTTCTAAAATCATGAAAAAGTTTTGTAATTAATGCATAATATAAATAGTTTTTTAATATATTAAGTGGTTAAAAAGAATAGCTGCTTAGTACGTGCAATAAATACAATAACAATGGTGACATTTCTATACAGCAAATAGACTTCAGTTTCAGGAAGACTATACACTTAACCTAGTACAGAAACCACAAGAGTCTGTGTAATTACGTAGCCGGGGGACATTCTTCAAGGTCAAGGGCTTGGTTATAGTCACTCATAGCTTCCTCTATCAGTCCTAATTTGCCACGAACTTGTGCTCTGAGATTATACACATCAGCTTCATTGGGCTTCAAAGTCAGGGCTGCAAAAGAAAGCAAAAAGTCTAGATATGTCGATATCAATCTCCCATAGCTCTCATTTGAAGTGTTTTTCTTCAAATGTAATAATGCGATTCAATTAGAAACACCAGATGTTTGTGAGAAGACTGATGCAGGAAGCTGTGGCCCAATGCCTTCCTCTGGGAGACTGGCATTGCTTATATGTGATTTCCTAATAATTATAACTCATCTCACCAATGTGTGAAGATGAGATATTACAAAACAGAATCTGTATCGGTCACATTAAGGATGTGGTACTACACATATGGATTTTATATAAACCAAAAGGCTTGATGATGTTCTTCTTTTGGAGTCTGAAAAGAGGTATACTAATTGCTACCA